TCACAATTACTCTATGCTCTGATTAACTATGGTATCACATGTGAACGAAAAATTTGAACTGGCATCATAGAATCATCCAATAATTCGAACAATTCGCACATTCTTTTGTCAATTTGCTACATTCCAGAGCCATAATTCGTTATATGTTGTCCTTCTTTTAAATTGTTGGGAATATTTACATTATAGAGGGTAATTTACGCGTTATATGGAGGTATGGATTTCTCGTTGTAGGAAATCCCCGTATAGCACATTTTCAACACGACAGACCCTTCGTTACAGGTGGGTTGTTTTGTATTTTTGTTGGAATACCCGCGTTATAGAGAGTCTTTTCCGCGTTATAGGGGATACCAAATTCTCGTTGTTGGATGTATATTGCACATTTACATCTCGAGATTTTGCAAAGAATTGCAATTATTTTGATTACACTGTTGCACCATCATTAACTATACAATTTGAACGGCAACTCTTAACACATGCTGTAGTTAGTTTTTTTTTATTACAAAATACAAAATGTCTTACAGTCCATATCTGTCAAGATGAATCTAATTAGTAAGTTGAACTTTATAAGAAATAAATTCAATACGAGTTACAAATTCAATAGACAACGTAACACAAAAGCATAAATTTAACCTCAAAATTATCTTTGATTATATCTATTTCTATATTTTATTTTGGACAAGGAAAACGCATAACAACCAAGAATGGGAGGAGCTGGAAGAAGCCTATGTGTCACAGGATACGCTTACAACTAGTCTAGTATATAATTAAAACTAAAAAAGGAAAAAAAAATGTTATCAGTAATTGTAAATGTTTTTTAGTTTCGGCAATAAAGGCCTAATAATAATATCTATTTCTAGCTGTTGCGCACGACTCTGCGTGAAATTCAAAAATTTAAAACATAGCCTATGTTACTCTTTGACAACATAGCTTTTCAATGGTGAAAGAATTTGTAAAATCGGCCGAGTAGTTTTTGAGTTATTTTATTACAAACAAAAAAAAAATCCCTCTTTATAATATTGATGACGCAATAAATTTGTCAATCGAGTTTATATTTACATTATAATAATTTATTAATTTACTATTGAACATATTGTAATTATGATGTTAAAATGCATCTAAAATACACTTAACATTTGATTTAAATTCAATGTCATGAAACAATAACACCTTTGTTAATGCTAAGTAATTCTCTGTTCACAAAAATCCAGGTCAATGTTGTGTCAACAATAATGTACATATTTATCTGTAACATTTTCCTGAGGTTATCATTATAAACATATATGCAATTATATCTTTAATAATATCTGCATACACTTTGTATAACATCCAGAGCAGTTTATTAATAACTTACAAACATATTAAAGAATCTATACTATTATAATAAAGCGTAAACACACACTTCTTTGTTGCCTAAAATGTTAGCAATTACAGCATATTTATGAATAATTCTTTTTTTAATAAAAAGCCCTACACTTACGTCATGCTTTAGGCTATATATTTCACGCCATTAAACTTAGGGGTTTAACATTTTGGATAAAAACCCTAATGTGGGAAAGAGACCATAAGTTGCTGCCAACATCAAGGAAGCAAGGTTGCCATTGTTTGAGATCATGTCATGTCATTTTGACATTTGCAATTAATAATTTGACAAATGTGAACAATAAAATGAATTTTTAAAATTTTATGCTTATGAAGTCGTATGGGAACAGCTAGTAAATAAATAAAGATATACCCGCTCCTCATGTCTCTGATCGACGACACACAACAGTTGTGCGATTGTCGGTTGTTTCGCAGCCAATTCAACTGTTTAGTTGCACAACTAAAAGGTGTGCGTGCGCGCTAAATCTTTCCGTTTTATAATACAAGTGTAGTCTTTAGTTTAAGGGTCAGTAAGTGACTAAAGTCGTGTCATTGAAGTGCCTTTGGCAATTACTAATTTGGTTAAGTAAGCTAAAACCAAGCAATTGTTTTCTCTAATAATTTAGGGAACAATTCCAGTGCTTACGACTTCGTCCGCGTGAAAATAAGAAAGAATTCAAAAATGTAGTCTATTTTACTCAATGATAAGGTAGCTTTTTAATGGTTTAAGACATCGGCCCAGTAGTTTTTGAGTTATTTCAATACATACAAAAATACAAATCATTTGTCTTTATTATATTAGTACAGCGTACAAAAGCATTTAAGGAAAAGTAAGTTTGCTTGTTATCATCAAGTCTAAACGTCAGCGGTAAATACGTTAGCGTGTCGAGATGGCCACTAGATCGTAGACATTTAATTGGCAGACGCACCGTGTAATTACAAACTTGATTCTACATTGAATATAAACGCAACAATGTTGCATTGATACAGCAGTGATTTTAAAACTAACGTAAACATTTTTTTATAGTTTCAGTCGCTAGGCAACAACCGGCAAATCATTTTCGATGAAATAGCAAAGTAAATCTGACATACAAAGATGCGTTGCGGACAGAGGAGCAGACTCCCCTCCCTCGATACCCGTATTCTCACTGACAATTTTTTTATATTACAAAGTGGCGAAAAGCGATTACTTGATTACGCCGAAATATCGAAACGACCGTTGCTCATAGATCTACAATCACAATCGCATTGCTTACCTTTAATTGGGTAGGGGACAGTACAAGGATATTTCCTCTTCTTATGCATCGCCTCTTCCGTCAAATCCGAACTGCCTATCCCATCCCATCCTTATCTAAAACGAAAAAACAATAATTTATATATTCTCTTTACACACACTTAACCTAGTTTATATTTTATTTTAACACAATAAATAAAATCTAACATTTACATAAACAGAAAATTAAAATGCATTGAAGCTGTAGACAAGTTTGCTAATTGCAAATTGTTCAGCTACCCTCTATACTAGTATGAAATTGTATTACGGTAGGGCATATTTAAAAGATTATTTTGTCTTATTCCAACAAATCTACTTTCTCTTATAAAATTTAATCACACTATTACGTCCACTTTTTAATTGTTTTTATTTCTTATCACGAAACAGCAATCGTATGTCTTAATTTCAAACCAATGTTTTAAAAAACATAAATCTAAAACGCAACACTGTTGGTTATAATTTATGTGGGTGTTCGTGTTTTAATTGGCACTTTTGTTTACGAAGTAAATCATCGACTACGTTCATTAATAATACCTCTATTTTTATTAATAAAATTAAATAAGTATTATTTAATAACTGTGTATAAAGCCCATTTGATGATTTGTTACATGCAGTTATAAAAAGTGAGGTTAAGTTTTATATTTACTCATCAGCAGTGCAAACGTTCTGTTAGATATAAACTTAGTGGATTGTTTTAAATACTATTAGTTGTCAACGTCTTCGTTAGCGCAGAATTAAAAAGTAGCATTACAATATTCCCGCGTACTTCACTTTTCTGTCAAAATCGGACCAGTTTCGAAGATTACCCGAAACGAACGCGGCTTGCAAAGAATGTAAAAATTGGGTTTTCGTTATCAGCAAAGTAAATACATTATGTTCACAAAAATATTTTTTGTTATATAAATGAAAAACTTTATTTTATTGTTTACATCTGTCAAATTCCAATTACCTTACTATGGCAATCTTGCTTCCTTGCGGTTGGCAGCTTATGGTCTCATTCCCACAAGTCTCTTTTCTCTTTCCCACAAAGTTTAGTAGCGTGCAAATATAAAACTAAAGCGTGACGTAAGTATAGGGCTTTTTAATAATAAAATAATAATTCAAAAGTATGCCACGATTGCTGAGATCCTACGCCACAAAGAAGTGTGTGTTTACGCTTTATTATATTAATATAGATAATATGTATCAAGATCAAACTATTATTGTGCATAACAAGAGTTCTTTAATAAGCGTAAATAAATAAAATCCGTATCGTTAAATCAAGGTAAATATTCAATTTAAAATCATTTTTAATGTTCATTGTATTAGTTATCAAGATCTTTTAAATCTATTTAAAAGCTTTCAATCTGTTTAACATAAACTTAAGTAGTGTTGTTTTTATCAATCGAGATAAAAATGATAAATCGATTTATTCATGAAATAATCTACGACTTTGTATACATGCATCAAGATATTTTTCTATACATAATGAAATTGGAGTGTTTGTTGGTAATATCAAAAGAAAAATTCCAGATTTCAGGAAGATGACGTATTTGCGTTGCTGATAACGAAAAAAAAAAATTGTCTGTCTGTCTATCCGCGAACCGCGTTTATTCCGGGTCATCTCCGAAACGACTGGGCAGATTTCGACCGGACTTTCACTGGAGGGTAGCTGACATAGACGGGTACATTATAGGTTACTTTTATATGCTTCCGTTCGGTCAAAATGGCGTAATGGGTAGTCTAAATTTGCGCTAACGAAGTTTGCAGGCGACATCTCGTTATTAATAAGTGTTGCCCGTGGCATGACAAAATTATTACAATTCTAACATGTAATAATTGCAGTAATGAACGATAATAAAGCATAAAGCGTCATAACGTTTGACGCATATGACCCCTAGATCCCGTCAGATATGACTTAATTACTGGGTCATATAAACAATGAATTATTATGCGTCTGTTTATGCATTTATGATATCTCTCAAACATGAATGAAGTCCACCTAAAAGTGATTATAGACTACAATAATTATTATCGTAAATAAGTGTGTATTATTAATAATTTAGGTAGATATTTCCTGCGTAAACACAGTTATAAAAAAAGTTTAAATAGGTACAATACTGTTGGTATCGCTGAAGTTTAGAAAAAATAAAGAACATAGTATAGAATTATACTAACTAAGCTGTTTTTATTCCACACAGAAGGAGTCGCGGGCAACTGCTAGTCAATATTTGTGCAGCAATTAACTATCTTCATTTGAATATCGACCACACTAATTATATTGTTTATTGTATATAATCGACATTGCATTAAAACAAACAGGAAGCACCTTTCAATCTAATAGTTCATTATCAATTATTAATAACAATATCATTTCCGTTTGTTACAGATATAATCTGGATTGAATCATCTACGAACTCCTTACGCAAAACTCTTTAGTCAACATAACCTCAAAAGTGACGCTGTCATTTTGACGTTTACAACTTGGTGGTAAATTCGTGAAGTAAACAATAAACTAAAGGACTATGCGGATAGGATTTTTAGAGAGATAGCATTAGAAAATTACCGTTGCAACATCTATTTATAATGGCGTCTTGGAAGTCTTGTTTCTGGACAGTGTTTGTGCTGTGCCTATTGGGGAAGATATCTGGATTGGATAATGGATTGGCTTTAACCCCACCGATGGGATGGTTAGCATGGGAAAGGTTTAGATGTAACACTGATTGCAAAAATGATCCCGATAACTGCATAAGGTTTGTATTATTTTATGTTTTATGTAGCAAGTAATGTAACACAAAACTAGAGATTTTAAATTTGATCAGGTAATTGAAGTAACGAAAGAATTATAGATACATTTACATTATTATTTAGAAAATCTGTGTTTTATTTTGTAAAGCGATAATGGAAGTGTTATTGTGTCCTAAATTTTGTGGAATTTTAAAAGTAAATTTGTTTTCTGCTTAGTTTAAATAATATCCGTCTAACGATCTAATCCAGCGCTGGACTGGAACAATATAAACAGAGCAATATAACCATTACATAGTAAAGTTAAGTTTAATTCAAACCGCTAATATAATAACCTCTTTTCCAGCGACCGTTTATTCCGCACGATGACAGACATCCTCGTCAACGAAGGGTACGCGGCTGTCGGCTACGAGTATGTGAACGTTGACGATTGCTGGCCAGAACGGGAACGCGACGCTCGCGGCAGATTGGTACCCGACAGGGAAAGGTTCCCGTACGGCATGAAGAGTTTATCTGATTATGTGAGTATATGCTTTGCAATTATTAATGGAGATTTTATGTACTATTAGTAAGGGTATCACAAAGCATAATCGTATACTAATCGTACTATCATAATCACTTATATTATAAATACGAAAGTTTGGATGAATGTGTATTATGTTTCTTTAAAACGGCTTAACGGATCTAGATGAAATTAGACACAGAAGTAGAATTGCCACTAAGCGCCAATAGCCTAATGGTTTACTAGTGATCTCGCGGTCGAGGGTTCGAATTCCGCCATTAGGTTATTCTCGTGAACCATGTCCTAGCACAAGCCTAGAGCTATGAAATGGGTAAAGGAAATAAAAGTAAATTAACTAAAATCTGAATATATTTGTTATAAAAAAGGACGTCGTTTGCAAGAACGCATGGGTTTTTTTACATGTTTTTAATTCCGTACGGAAGAAATCGCGGTCAAAAGCTGGTTTACCATAAACCAGGGCAGTTTTTACCGGAGTGTGCAAGAGCTACGAGGCCTAAGCGCCAAGCCCTAGGGAGCAACAAACAATTTTCTTATCCAGGCGCCCATTAATGTGAACGATCTTGAAACCCAACTAGGATTAGTGTTTTGTATTTACTATTCTCTTTAACTGTAATTATGGATTAGTTGTAGATGATTTCTAATTGAATCTTTGTAATGGCGACTATTGAGCAAAAAATACAGTTTACTAACACATTTCTCAATAAAAAATTAATGCTATTTACTCTTAAGTAGTTTAAATTTACATTAATTACATACCTCGTATATTCGCTGTAAATGTTTTGTACATTTGAAATAGCGTTGAAATTATGCAAAGTTGTGTTATAAATTTTATGAAATACAAAATTAACGTCAAATAAATCCTCGTCAGTTAGATAATAGTGTTTATGAGTTAAATATTTTTTAACATATCTAAGCAAGGTTTTCAAAAGATAAAAATTACGGTCAATTTTCTTAAAACTTAAGCGAAAATAGTCTAATGGTTTGGGGTATGGACTACCGATCTTGCGGTCGAGGGTTCGAATCCCGCCATTCGACTATTGTCGTGAACCGAATCCTAGCACAAGATTAGAGCTTAGTTGGAATGGTTAAAGGAAATATTAGTAAATTAACAAAAATCTAATATTTTTTTAGAAAATCTCAACAAAGAAGCTTTGAGTTAAGCTCGCATTTTAATCACAAATGTAGATTGTTATTGTCTAAAACTAATTTAAACACGACATAAATCGTGCTGATTTATGCGTTTTTTTAAAAATAGTTATCGACAAAAAGTATATTGACTAAACTAATTTAACTTAAATAAATATTCTTTAAAACGTCAATTATCTGTAAATGGAATAGAAAATCAAGTTTAAAGGAACATAATCATTGAACCGTTTGACAGACAAACACGTGAGTTTGTTACGTGAAGTGTAGCACCGCTTCCGTGGTACATCACTAATGTGAAATGCAGGCCGCATGTAGAAGTAACGATTACGTATACAATGAACTTGTCTAATGATACCATCAATGAAGTGGTTGACTTTGGCTTAGTTGATGAAGTACGTCTTATAAATATTATTTTAGTCGCTTTCTCTTTCCATCCATTTCTTAAGAGGAAAGGATGGGAAGGAAAAGTGGATTTGACGGTGAAGGGGACGCATAGGAAGGGGAAATGTTCTCTTTATGTGTGTCTCCTCCTCCGTCAATTAAGGGTGGGCAACGCATCTGAAATTGCGGATGTTTATGGGTAGCGGTCGCTTTCCATTTCGGTGGATTCAGGTGATCGCTTGCTCGATTGCCACCCAATAATAAAAAAAAATTATAAATGCGAAAGTTTAGATGGATGTTTGTTAGAGTTTGTAGCCTAAACTGCTGAATGGATCTTGATGAAATTTGGCATAGACGTAAAGGATACTAGAGTATCTTCCAGAGAAGAACACATAGGTACTCCATTTTGTTTTATTTTAATTTTACGCGGTCGAAAGTTAGTAACATGATACTCTTAAAAATACAATCGTTCTCATTCAAACGAGTATTTTGTTTTGTATATTGTAAACTCTTTCTATCACACAAATTAAAACTTCCTACATAATAGAGTACATTTGTTTGCCTTTGTCTACTACTTTGTAACAATAAGTATTGTGTTTTGTAACTTTAAAAACGTAGTGTTGGTTATAAAAGTAATGTACACAAAACTTGAATACTATTAGATTGGTCAATTTAATTCTGATATGGAATGAAACCTATATATGTAGATTTCAAAGTGAAATGTCAACTATGCCCACTCTATGTATTTGAAACACTTTGTAACCACACGAAATTATTAGTAAGTAATGAACTATTCGCTATAGTTGCTAAAAAATAAATAAAAAAAATTTACTTATTTATACCAATATAATAAAGAGGAAAGATTTCTATTTTTGTATGTATTGAAATAACTCAAAAACTACTTTGCCAATATACTATTATAAAAAAGCGTAAACACACACTTCTTTGATGCCTAAGATGTCAGCAATGACAGCATGTTTTTGAATAACTCATTTATTAATTAAAAGCCCTACACTTACGTCACGCTTTAGGCTATATATTTTCACGACAATAAACTTAGGGGTAATTATTTTGGATAAAAACCCTAACGTGGGAAAGAGACCATAAGTTGTTGCCAACATCAAGAAAGCTAGGTTGCCGTTGCCATGGTTTGACATCATGTCATGTCATTTTGACAATTTGATAAATGTGAACAATAAAATGAAATTTTTATAATTTAATGCGGATGAAGTCGCATGGGAACAGCTAGTATTTTTATAATTTTACGCTTGCGAAATCGCGAGCAACAGCTAGTATAGTGACGTATACAAAGTTCAAGATTATATTCGGCACAGAGTATAAAATGTAAACAGTATAAGTAAATACAGATTAAATTAACAGCAAACGTATCTAGGTCGATCAGTATATCAATGTCGTATAGTGAATGTATTGTACTTGGACACGCAATAGCATGTGAATGGTGGATTTATATGCTTGTTTCTTTTTTGTTTATGAGTGCATTTTTTTTGTTTTTATCAAAAGTTTGAAAGGTATACAAAGATATTTAAATAACATATAGACGAGGCATAGTGAACACATTTTTTGCACCGGTACTTTTTTGAATGGTACTATATCATTAGTAATTTAAATATAATGAAAATTATTGATATGTGGTTTTGAGGATCTATTAAGAGATAGCGTTAGTAACTATTTGAAAAATGTTTCAAGTGAAGTGTCAACTAACTACTCTATTATATTTGAAACTCTTTGTAACCACACGAAATAAATAGTAAGCAAGGAACTATTCCGATATAAATTAACTCGAAATAAATTAAAAAAAAACTTTACTTATCTATGTTAATATATTAAATGAGAAATATTTATATTTTTGTATGTATCGAAAAAACTCAAAAACTACTGGACCGTTATCTAAAATTCTTTCACCATTAAAGGCTACGTTATCAGTGAATAACATAGGCTATATTTTTTTAATTCCACGTGGTCAAAGTCGCAAGCAACGTATTACATTATGTTACTAACCTATACTATTATAATAAAGCGTAAACACACGCTTCTTTGTTGCCTAAGATGCCAGCAATTACAGCATAATTTTGAATAATTTTTTTTTTATAAAAAGCCCTACACTTACGTCACGCTTTAGGTTATATTATTTCACGCCATTAAATTTAGGTGGTAAATATCTTGGATAAAAACCCTTATGTGGGAAAGAGACCATAAGTTGCTGCCAACATCAACGAAGCAAGGTTGCCATGGTTTGTCATAATGTCATGTCATTTTGACATTAGCAATTGATAATTTGACGCATGTAAATAATAAAATTCCATAATTTTATGCGGATGAAGTCGCACGGGAACAGCTAGTACTCCTATAAGCTACGCGATTTGTTGCAAAAGTTTCACTAATAGATTTCGTAATAGGCTATTGCTTGCATACAAGATAGTCGTAACATTTCCCTAGCTGTTTTTAAGCGCCAATTAATTATACTTACTTTCAATTTTGTAAACCTCTTATAAATAAAATCATTTTATCTTTTTACATCATAATGCTTTTTAGATAAAGGCATATGACTTTATAATAGCATTTTATATACTAGCTGTTACTCGTGACTTCACTCGCGTATTAAAAATAATAAAACATAGTCTATCTTACTCAATGATAACGTAGCTTTCTGATGGTGAAAGAAATCGGTAAAGTAGTTTTTGAGTTATTTCAATACATACAAAAATACAAATCTTTCCTCTTTTTAATATTAGTATAGACAAAGTTTAAACATAAAATTGAAATAAATGTTGTCTTTTAGATTGTAAACAAAGACATTAAAAATTTATAGACAAGGCATAATGACTATTTTTTCACCGGTACTTTCTCTGACAGGTACTATATCAGTTGACAGTTGTCAAGTTTAGTACCACTTTGTGTCCTTGTATTAACATGGAAAACATTATAATAAGCACCATCTTTTGTTATAAAATAAACTATGATATAAAATGTTTCAAGTAAAGTGTTAACTATGCCTCCTCCAGATGTTTTCGAACCTCGTTGATTGCAAGTGCTCGTTTTAGTATTCGGCCGTTAGTGTTTTAGATTTAAACGAGATGGGATTATTTAGAGTTCGTAATTGACTGAATTCCCAAAGAATTACTATAAATTAGAAAAAGCTGTTGTTTTCGTTTTTTTATGCCAAGATTAAAGATTAACTTTCACCATTAAGATGAAAGTGGACCAATTTTCTTTATGCTTCAATAATTGATGTACGGAACGTGGTATACGTGCGCTATAACATAAGAGTAACAAGATGACGTCATTCTTGTCTAAGACAACTTTTATCGTAATGTAATCATACTATACTAATATTATAAATGCGAAAGTTTAGATGGATGGATGTTTGTTAGAGTTTGTAACCTAAACGGATGAACGGATTTCGATGAAACTTGATATGGATGTAGAGGATATTCTGGAAGAACACATAGG